TTCTTTAAAGAATAAACATGTGTTACACGCTAACACATCTCGTAGGTGCTAACAGATTAGCCCTCACGAATCCATTCGGTTTTGACCGAAATGCCACAAACCCGAATCAGTGCTTCCGAAATTGAAGCACGAATCAATGCTCCTAAACTAACGCATCGATTCCAATGCAATCTCTATTGCTTTAAATTATAAACTCATAACAACCTTTCGTTGCTTAATTTATAATTACAGTGCTACCTGGCACTAGGATTATTAGTTAATTACACAGTTAACCAAACTTCCTTTCGTGCTAATCACATAACACTTTTACAACGCTAAATTTAATTAGCCACATACTATACGAAAGGTTTGAGCTAAGTAGATTAGCATTAGGACCAATCATAATCTAGCACCTTTATTGCTATTACCAAAGCACCAAATGCTTAAGTTTTCAACACCTAAAGGTGCAGCCACCAAGTGGCCGAAAGTGCCTAATTAGGCACTCTACCTAGTGCTTAATAGCACTGTTACAGTGTTTTAATTTGCACTTCAAAGTGCCAAATTAAATTGCACTTTCCATTAGTGCTACAAAAGCACTATTCACTAAAACACAATTTGTCTCAAAATAAATATACTAGTATAATTTGGAATTTTTGATCAAGTTAATTATAACACAATTAACAAAACCAAATCAACCAAATTTCCAAAACTAGTTGAACCAAACTCATATAATCGTTCTTAGAATATTATATAAAATATTCAACACTTGAGCTGTGACGCTCACGATTATATAGTTATCCCAATTTTTGACAAATTGCTCCTATTTTGAAATCTGTATCGTTCAACATGAACTAGAACCGAAGTCTTTTTACGGGATTTCAAACATGTAACGTGCTTGTTACATTCCGTTCCGGCCGTTAAGCCATTTTAGCATTTTCCACATAATGCTCCGTGATGCACCACGCACCCATATTGAACCTTTTATATATTAAAAATATTACACAAGAATATTTCAAAATATACAAAGTTCATAACACACAAATGGAACAATTCATTTTATTCAACAATAAAATGTATCACAAGGATACTACAACATTTATTTAACAAATAAATAAATAGGAAAAATTACATTGGAAACCAATTTCCATTATTCCTATGTAGTAGTCCTTCGAACCCGTGTGCCTTATTCCATTCTCAAACATCCACTCCACAGCGGGTGGTCCATAGCGCACATCGGGGGTACCTCGGTTGTGACCTCACTCGTCCAACCATCCACATGTTTTGAACATGGCGAAATTGTCCTCAACCTTTTCACCAGGATGACGATTCGCATCATAGTGGCATTTCTCCTTCTTCTCATAATCTTCTTGAAAGCTAAGCTTCCGCTTGAGTTTCCTTCGATTACGGTTGAAGTCATTTGTAACACTACCATAGTCCTCGGACCATGTAGTCATTACACCATCATAGGATCCATCATGGCTTTTAGCCGATCCACTAGACAACACAATAGGTACCAATTGTGTGTCACCAGCCACAGGTCTACCGGTTCGTGAACCAAAGTTCTCCGGAGCACCATCGTGTGTCTTTGCAACTACCATGGAAATAACATTTCCAACGTTGCCGCCATCAACTGGCATCACGGAATGTGCAACTTCGTTGCCTTTCCGACCATTTGAATGTGCACCTCCGGCAACATTCACGGATCCAACACTTTTGGAATCCATCGACTTGTTCATTATCAAAATAAATAAGGTTTTAAGATTGTTGGTGATAATGAACCACAATCGATTTAATATCCGTAAAATAATATTTATATATATACACACGAAATATATAAAAAATATTATTGGATATATATCCGAAATATATATATACACACAAATATATATAAAACAGACCCAACGGTTATATATATATATATATATATATATATATATATATATATATATATATATATATATATATATATATATATATATATATATATATATATATATATATATATATATATATATATATATATATATATATATATATGTATGTATGTATATCTATGAAAAAGATATACCAATATATATCAACCAAAAAGAAAATATAATCCTTAGATTATAATTCCAAAACAACAAGAAAGAACGGATTTTTGCTTAGAGCATAATCCAAAACAAGAAAGAAGGAGAAGGAAGAAAGATTCGTACGAGTTAGGCAAAGTGCATGTCTTTCCTTAAAACCTTATTTGCCACCTCCCAAAAGTGCTAGGAGCGTTGTGGCCTAGGTTTCCCAGGATAAAACGTACAACGGTTCGACGTTTGAGCACCCAAACGAACGAACCCGGCGAACTAGAGCATGGGACGAACACAGCTACAAGAAGGGAGTAGGAGCAGAGATTTTGGAGCTGGGAAAACAGAATTTCAGTGTTGTGTGTGTTGTTTTCAATCTGTGTAGAAACACTGCTGCTACACCCATTCTTATATAGGAGGTGAGGAATCAATAGCATTTAGTTTAACATTTAATCCACGATTTGTAACACCTGAAACAGCCACCATTATTGAGATTTAACTCAAAAATTCAAAAGGTGGAATTAATACAAGATTAATCCTGTAACAGTCCAGAACCAACAAATGGTCCGCGTTGTTTCAGCTCAGTTACTTTCGGGATGCACGAAACTCTCGTGTAACCTCATGACAGCGCACAAGAGATCAAGTCTTGATCTCGGGTGATCTCTCGTGGTGTGGCCATATAGTGTTGCCCCCAGGTGCCGGCGCACCCGAGCTCGGGCTTGAATCAAGCCTTTTTCAGAACCTACAAATGGTCCGCGTTGTTTCAGCTCAGTTACTTTCGGGATGCACGAAACTCTCGTGTAACCTCATGACAGCGCACGAGAGATCAAGTCTTGATCTCGGGTGATCTCTCGTGGTGTGGCCATATAGTGTTGCCCCCAGGTGCCGGCGCACCCGAGCTCGGGCTTGAATCAAGCCTTTTTCAATCTCGTCTAGTTGGAATTTGATTTGCACCCCTTCCTCCCCCCCCCCCCCCCCCCGCCGCGCGAGAGAGCCTCTATGCTATACAATTCTACAAGCTCTAAAAAAGCTCTTGTATAAAAGGGGGGTGAAATCCTCTTTCCAAATCAATGTGGGACAAAGCTCCCTTTTCCTTTACATTTTTCCAACTCAATGGGTCTACTTTGAGAATCAATATCTCATTCACCCATTATCCGTTTTGAGCGTACAATATATCAATCTCTTCGTCTCACTACGAAGAACCCGAATCCACTTTGACCCGACCCAAATTGGAAGTGGACCCCACTGATAATTGTACCACAAAATATCCACTTAATATGTCATTTTATGCCATTTTAATGCTATTTTTCCAACATATATATATATATATATATATATATATATATATATATATATATATATATATATATATATATATATATATATATATATATATATATATATATATATATTGGATCATATGAGAACAAGTTTTTAGGGAAAATTCAATGGATCAAATCATATTTTAAAAAATGCGGTGATAATATTCACAATTATATTATCACCAACTTCACTCTGTAAACTTGAACACTAAAATCTGCACTTCTCATAAATTTTTAGGTTTGCATATTTAGTAATAAAAGACTGCACTTGCAAATATGCGAAAGTGCATTACACTTTTTTTTTTTATTGGAAAAGTTCATTACACTTATGGTTTGAATTTTAGAGTTTATGAATGAGTTTTTGATTTTATTTGGTTTACTGATTCACTTTTTACTGTTTAGGGTCTAGCATTTACAATTTAGATTTAAAATTTAGCTATTTCATTGATTTTTTTTAAATTTATCTGTGTTTGCATATTTAGTTGTTATAGATTGCATATTTAAGTGTTCAAGTTTGCAAAGTGAACTTGATAATAACTACGAAAATGCTACTGCATTTTTTATAAATCTAATCTGATCCTTTCGATTTTCACAAATGTAAGACGGAAATTGGTTCTTAGTTTTCTCTTGGAGGTGTGTTCTCTTGGGATCATTCTATCATATATAATGATTATATGATATAAAAGAGTTAATACCTCCAATGGTCCTTCGAGTATTAGCAGTTTACCAGCTGTGGTCATCCGAGTTTTAAATGACCTCCAATGGTGCTCCATGTTTTGAAAAATAACCACCTGTGATCCTGATTCTTAAAAAAAAAATCGAGTTTAAAATGACCACGAGACATCCTAAAAAGACCACGGGTGATTATTTTTTAAAACATGGAGGACCATTGGAGGTCATTTAAAACTCGAAGGACCATTGGAGATATTAACTCTGATATAAAGTTATGAAAGTCAAAGTTGAAATGTAAGAAAATTATTGAAAAAATTGTACTTTTAGTTCATGGCATCTTATTGATAGAAACTTTCACGAGGCATCTTATTGATGGAAATAAGACGTGAACTAAAAAATTAATATATATACACATTAAATATTTGAGTTATATGTTAATTATTACATAAATATAACTATCAAATTTATAAAAATGATTTACATTATTATTATTATTATTTAGAATAATTTAAATATCTAAAATTTAAATAAATTTAAAATTTTAATATAATGCATTAATATTGGGCACCTATTTTTTGCACACCGCGCATAAAAATACTAGAATATATATATATATATATATATATATATATATATATATATATATATATATATATATATATATATATATATATATATATATATATATATATATGGATCAGTTCAAGTGCGAAAAGGCTCTCATGTGAAAGATGGGGTAAGATCTGAGTTGTTGATCAAATTTAAATCAACGGCTCAAATCAATAAAAAAATTTAAAAAAAAAAAAAAAAGGTGCATCCTACGTTAAAAGAAACAAAGTGTAAAAGTAGCGCACCTTAAGTATTATAAAGACGCATCTTAAGTTGTAGGATGACGCACCTTAAGTGTTAAAATGACGCACCTTAAGCTATGGAAATGCGCACCTAAAGCTTTAGACTAACGCATCTTAACTTTCAACAAAAAATGCACCTTAAGTTCTTAACTGAAGAACTGACGCACCTTAATTAAGTGTAAAGAGGGTGCACCTTAATTAAGCTATGGAAAGACACACCTAAAGCTTAGACTAACGCACCTTAAGTTTCAACAAAAAACGCACCTTACGTTCTCAACTGAAGAACTGACGTACCTTAAGCACAGAAACCACGCACCTTAAGAAGGAACACAACACACCTTAAGCACAAAAACCACGCACATTAACTTTCAGCAATATGGAAAATGACCAAATTGCCATCACATTTTTTAAAATTTTTCTTCAATCTCGCTTGTTGATTTTGATTGGATCAAGGGTTGAGATTAAACTCCATCTTTTACCTGAAGCCTATTACCGCACTTGATCCTTCACATATATGTGTGTGTGTGTGTGTATATATATATATATATATATATATATATATATATATATATATATATATATATATATATACACACACATATATACATATATAGGTATTGGATAATATGAGCACAAGTTTTTAGGAGAAAACTACAAACCAATCTCAACCTTACTTCTAGAAAAATTCAACGGATCAAATCATATTGTAAAAAATGCGGTGATATTTTTTGCTATTTAGCTATTTTATTGATTTATTAAAAATTTATCCGTGTTTGCATATTTAGTTGTTATAGATTGCATATTTAAGTGTTCAAGTTTGCAAAGTGAAGTTGATAATAATTACAAAAATGCTACTGTGCTTTTATAAATCTAATCTTATCCTTCCGATTTTTACAGATGTAAGACTGAAATTGGTTCTTAGTTTTCTCTTAGAGGTGTATTCTCATGGGATCATTCCATCATATATAATGATTATATGATATAAAATTATGAAAGTCAAAGTTGAAATGTAAGAAAATTATTGAAAAAAATTGTAATGTTAGTTCATGAATTCTAAGGAAGTGTTATTTTTGTTCCTAATTAATATGGCACTGCAATAGTATTACTTTGTAATTGAGGGTATTTTAATATCTTCAAATAATATAGCAGGTACATGAAAATCATATGTAGTGAGAATACTTGTTGAGTGTTGTTCAGTGTTATGTCCAAGAAAATTAAATTGATGACTAAATATACCACTAGGGTACTACTGTAACAAAAAATTAAACCCGCTCTACAATTCATCGACTAAAACTGTAATTTTTCAAAATTACTTGTTGAGAGTTAAAAATGAAAAAACCGACTACATATCATTGAAAAGAATGATTCTTTGATCAACTGATATATGCAATACAAGGTTGGTATTGAAAGAAGTAGATGGAATCATTGCTATAGCCTAGTAACTATTTTAGTTTGGAGATCAGATGCAATGTTTGCATGTTGGATGCTTATAAATGCTTGTACCAACACCCCTTGCATGAACCTTAATTTTGGATGCCAAAAGTAAGGGTTCGATCCTTAGCTTTGGGTATGGAGCAGTCTTAAATCTCCAGGTCAGCTGCCTCACCCAAAAGAGGTGCCTACGTACAATTCAGCGAGGGGATTAATCACTGTATCAGAGGGGATACACCCAAAAAAATCTTTCTTATTCTTTCCTCAAAACTGCCAACAAAATTGCTGCCACTGCACCCTCTTATTGCTTGGCCTCAACATATTCTAAATCCTGGCTGCCTGAATACATCAGCGGTTGCGCATGCGCTGAAGTCCAGTGCAGCAAGCTAAGCTGCAAACCAAAGCATGAGAAACGTAAGGGTTTATAAGAATCTCACATTGAAAAAACATAGAGAAACGTAAGGGTACGTTTATAAGATCATGAGTTAAAATAACTAACTGACTGTATAATTCAAATGTTCAATATTTCAGTGTCATTTGTCCATGTGTATATATTTATATACATTGTAGTTGTCAGAGTTTTACTACATGTAGTCCTAAATTCTACTCCCTCACATCTACTCTCTTATGTGGCACACAAAATGTCTACATCAAGAATTTTAGGATAGAGACAATTACTCACAATCTATCCAAGTGCCTCAAGCAGTAGTGACAGTAAAAAAGCCAAGCCTCTGCTCTTGATGAAGCAGTGAGGTGAACCGAATCAAAAATAGAAAACATGAGATCGACAAAACCCAATAACAAAATTGTTAAGATTAAAAACTGCAAATAATGAAACTAAAAGGCAGCTGAGAATCTGTAATCACTTACAAACTATATACAACATGCAAGTTGACGTTTAAGCTTTTGCAAGCCTGCAACCACTTCCTTCATGCAGATTCGTTCTGCTGGAGATTCTGAACAGCAACTTAAGGCCAATTCCATCATAGATGACAAACACTTGACTTTTCCACTTGAGGGTTCTTCATCTTCGGCAAGTAAATTTACATCAATTATATCAATTACTCTGTTGGGCATTGAGTCTTTAACCCAAATCTTTAGGCTCAGATTTTCAGAAAAAATCTCATTGCTAGGCTTTGTCCTTGTGAATGTTTCCATCAATAAGATACCATAACTATAGACGTCGCATTTTGTCGACACTATGCCTTCAGATCCATACTCTGTAGCCAATATTTAAAGAAAATGAAATTAGGCATGGGGAAAGAAATTAAAACAGAAACAAGGACAAAAGAATTGAGTCTTCACCTGGTGCAATGTAACCCAATGTAGCAAGGGTCTTTGTGTATGCAATGCTATCATCACTACCCAACAACTTTGCGATTCCAAAATCACCAACATGAGCAACCATGTCCTCATCAAGGAGAATATTACTTGGCTTCAGATCACAATGAACCACGGGTTTTGGATAACCATAGTGAAGATATTCAAGTGCATATGCAACATCAATCATTACGTTCAATCTTTGAGTGATGTCCAAGAAACGGTCTTGGGTATATAACCAGTCATCAAGGTTCCCCTTTGGCATGTACTCCAGAACCAGGGCTTTAAAATTTGGGTTGGAGCAATAGCCTAACAATTTAACAAGATTTCGATGGCGAATGTCGAACATTATCTTACATTCGACAATAAAGCTTTGGAATGCACCTTCCAGTTGCACATCAAACACCTTTATGGCCAAAATTGTTCCATCTTCAAGAATCCCTTTATACACCGTGCCAAAACTCCCAGCACCAATCACATTCCTCTCATTATATCCATCTGTTGCATGTAAAAGTGTATAATATGATACTCTATCCACCTCTTTAACACGTAACAATTCTTCATTCTTTGTATGCTTCTGTTTTCTCCAACATGTAATCAACACAACTCCCACGGCCAAAGCTAGGATAAGGCTTGTGATTCCCAAGGCCATCAAAATATATCGAAGAATTCTTTTTGCTTTAGACCTCCGAACTACACTTTTATGGCAAGGTGGAACTCCAAACCTGGCATCTCCGCACAATGCTTCATTGGATAGAAAGGTTAAGCTTGTGAAGTTTTTGAAAGGACCATTTGATGGAATTACACCACTTAAGCTATTGAAAGAGACATTCAAATGGTGCAGATATCTAATTGCCTGCAAGGAAACTGGAATTGAACCACTGAGATTGTTACGTGACAAGTCTAGTGATTCCAAGCTTAACATCCCATTTATTGACTCCGGAATTTGTCCATGTATTTGGTTTTGTGCCAAAGAAAGGTTTATCAAATTTTGTAAGCTTCCTATTGTGCTGGGAATGATGCCGGATAAGTTATTGTTTGACAAATCAAGGAGATATAAAACCTTCAGATTTTCAATTTCAGAAGGTAGAGTCCCACTAAAGGAATTAGAGGACAGGTTGAGCATCAAGAGATTTTTCAGGTTCCAAAGGTTTGAAGGTATTATACCGCTCATTCTATTTGAATCAAGGTGGATATACCGTAGAGAAGTAACGTTCCCCAAGCATTCTGGGATGAGACCTGAAATTCTATTTTCGCTCAAATAAATTGCTCCCAGATTCTGCACCTTACAAAGATTCCCAGTTAGTGGACCACTTAATTTGTTTTCAGCCAAATTCAAACGTGCAAGCTTATGTAATGTGTTTGGAACCGCTCCACTCAAGTCATTGACAGACATTACTATAGTGTCTAGGCCAGTTAGATTGCCAACTTCATCTGGGATGGTGCCATAAAACCCTGAATTGTATGCATAGAAGTTTTGTAGAGTGGAAGACAGATTACCAATGGATGTAGGAAGAGTGCCATGTAGACTATTAATACCCACATCTAGTGTTTTCAACTTTCTACATTTTGTTAGAGAAGTTATGAAGCTTAATTCTTGAGAGGAAGGATTAGATGCTAGTTTATTTCGACCCATTTCAAGAAATTGGAGAAGGCTAAGGTTTTCAAGAGAGTTTGGAATGGAGCCACTGAAATGGTTATCAGTGAGAGATATAACAGAGAGTTGGGAACAATTTGCAATTGAATGAGGAATGACTCCACTTAACACATTTTGGAGTAGAACAAGATCTTCAAGATTGGTTTGCGAAGAGCACATAGTTGAAGGAATACTACCCAAAAGATGATTTCTTGAAAGATTAATTATACGCAATGTAGTAATGTTGAAGAGCCCTTCAGGTATTGTACCAACTAGATTATTTCTTTTCAAATCAATCAATTCCAATTTGGAAAGGTAGCTAACTTCTCTAGGTATCATACCTGTTACATTGCACAACATACAGTTAAAAATTGCAGTAGAATTCTAAAAATTCCTTTTGGAACATTAATTGGCTTTTCAAACATACCTATGAAGTAGTTTTTACCAAGCACTAACCATTGAAGAGATGATAAATTCCCAATATATCTAGGTATGGATCCCATGAGCTTGTTGGTCCTCAATGATAAGATTTGAAGTGATGACATATTAGAAATGAACGTTGATACAGATCCTGTAATCTGGTTTTCTTCTATGCCAAATATCTTCAAATTATGGAGATTTCCCAATTCATTTGGAATTGTTCCTATTATGAAATAATAAATTGTACTAGTTACATGTTCTGTCTCAACTTGAGGCCATGTAAAATATAATTTGTAACTTTAGCCACAGCTTATACCTTTACTCTCCTTTGGGAATAGATAGAAAAACAATAGCCCCGGGGAATAGATAGAGTTGACTAAATTGAAGTTATATAACTTAAGCAATTTAATTAAGTCAATATAGAGCAAATAAGATGCATGGAATAATACCTGTTAAATTGTTACCACCAATAGCTAGTATCTCAAGCATCTCCAACTTCCCCAATTCTTTAGGTATCAACCCATCAAACATATTACACGTC